GAGGGAAGGGAGAGAATTTTAAAAAGGAAACATTAAGTAGGGAGGGAGGGAGGAAGAAAGAAAGGAAGGAAGGAAGGAGGGAATTTAAAAATGAAAAATTAAAGGGAGAGGAGGGAAGGGAGAGAATTTTAAAAAGGAAACATTAAGTAGGGAGGGAGGGAGGAAGAAAGAAAGGAAGGAAGGAAGGAGGGAATTTAAAAATGAAAAATTAAAGAGGGAGGGATAGGGAAAGAAGGGAGAGAATTTTAAAAAGGAAATATTAAGTAGGGAGGGAGGGATGAAGAAAGGAGAGGATTTAAAGAAAATTAAAGAGGGAGGGAGGGAGAGAAGGAAGGAAGGAGGGAATTTAAAAAAGAAAAATTAAAGGGAGAGGGAGAGGAGGGAAGGGAGAGAATTTTAAAAAGGAAACATTAAGTAGGGAGGGAGGGAGGAAGAAAGAAAGGAAGGAAGGAAGGAGGGAATTTAAAAATGAAAAATTAAAGAGGGAGAGATAGGGAAAGAAGGGAGAGAATTTTAAAAAGGAAATATAAAGTAGGGAGGGAGGGATGAAGAAAGGAGAGGATTTAAAGAAAATTAAAGAGGGAGGGAGGGAGAGAAGGAAGGAAGGAGGGAATTTAAAAAAGAAAAATTAAAGGGAGAGGGAGAGGAGGGAAGGGAGAGAATTTTAAAAAGGAAACATTAAGTAGGGAGGGAGGGATGAAGAAAGGAAGGAAGGAGAGGATTTAAAGAAAATTAAAGAGGGAGGGAGAGAAGGAAGGAGGGAATTTAAAAAAGAAAAATTAAAGGGAGAGGGAGATGAGGGAAAGGAGAGAATTTTAAAAAGGAAATATTAAGTAGGAAGGGAGGGAGAAAGAAAGAAAGAAAAAAAAGGAGAGGATTTTAAAAAGAAAATTAAAGAGGGAGGGAGGGAGGAAGCAAGGGAAGGAAGAGAGGATGGAGGGAAGGAAGGATGGAGGAAGGGAAGGAAGGAGGAAAGGAAGGTAGGAGGAAAGGAAGGAAAGAAGGTTTTGTAATTCATGTTCAATAAAAATAAAAAGCCAAAAGAGGAAGGGAACTCATCTTCCAAACAAACAATTCTGCTAATAAACAGAGAAACAAGCCTCATCCAGCGAAGATGAACAAACAAACAAGGATTAAACCTGGAACTGCCTTGCCAAGATTTCAAGATTCTGTGGTTCTATATTAACAATAAAGCAGCATTTGAGAGACCCTGGGTGCTCCTTCCCGCTATGGCCTTCTGGGAAGGGCTGTGAAATTTCTCCCAAATTCCTCTCTAACGTGTGGCCAAAACGGGCCTTCCGACGAACGGCACAATTCAAGACAAAACTGGGAACACAAGGAATAGAGCCTCATGTATCTTGCTCAGCTCCCAGCAGCCCCGTGGGAAGCCTTATTTAAAACATTTCCATGGCAATGGCTAAATTTAACACGTCCATTTGTCTTCTCACTAAGCCAATTGTCCTCTGGAAGGCGGCAGGAGGGCAGGAAGTAACCCGGGGTCTACGATTTATGCAGATTTATGCGATTTTTGCCTCGCATTCCTGAAATGCGTAAAGATCAGCGCATCTCCTTGGTTTTATAAGGGACTAGAGCTGGATACCCGTGCTACGCTACGAAACTCTGTGATCGGGCTTGATACTTAAAGCTTGAAAATTAATGTAGAAGGTGTAAGCTCCTTAGCATCAGAGCGTGTTAATATAAGGTAACTGGCAGTTGGAACAGAGTCCTTTTCGGATGGGGAGGGGAAGTAGAATGTCTAACTCCTTAGCATCAGAGCGTGTTAATATAAGGTAACTGGCAGTTGGAACAGAGTTCTTTTCAGGTGGGGAGAGGGAGTAGAATGTCTATACTTTCAGCTTGCAGGCTGGATGAGTCACGCGCTGGCCATGCCCACGCCCGGTCTAGCGAAAGGGTAACATGAGAGTGTGTTGATATAAGGCAACTCAGTTGAAACAGAGTTCCTTTCAGGTGGGGAGAGGGAGTAGAATGTCTAACTCCTTAGCATTAGTGTGTGTTAATATAAGGCAAATGGCAGTTGGAACAGAGTTCCTTTCAGGTGGGGAGGGGGAGTAGAATGTCTAACAGCATCAGAGCATATTAATATATGGCAACTGGCAGTTGGAACAGAGTTCCTTTCAGGTGGGGAGAGGGAGTAGAATGTCTAACTCCTTAGCATCAGAGTGTGTTAATATGAGGCAACTGGCAGTTGAAACAGAGTTCCTTTTAGGTGGGCAGGGGGAGTAGAATGTCTAACTCATTAGCATCGACGTGTGTTAATATAATATATAGTACTGCATAACAACTACTGATGATCTGATGGTCATTTTGAAAAATCCTTTCTTAGCAAGCACCTAAGAAGCCAAGAGGAACAAACGTGTCAAATTTCAAGTTTGTAGGCTTTACAGTTCTGGAGATTTCTTGATGAGTGAGTGGTATTTGGCTTTTATAGAGAGAGATAATAGTGAAATCATATTAATTACTTATACATAGTAATAATCTTTCAATTTCTAATTTCTACCTCTATTATCTAACCATTCCCATGTTGAAAAATATTCTGTATCTTCTTTATCTTTTATCTTTAACGTTAACGTATCCATTTCCACGCAATCTAGTATTTTTTTCATCTGCAGGAGTTTCCTCATTTTTCAAGTGCTGTGCAAATACAATTCTTGATGCGGTCAAGACACGTACTATGGAATATATATTCCCTTTGTCATATTTTTCTGGTAATATACCTAACAGAAATATTTGAAATCTTTACGTTGCTTTATCATTTTCTCTAACCACGTATGTATATTCCCCCAAATATTTTTTCTTGTCTCTTGTAGGGAACAGCATCAAGATGGTTTGATGTTGAATTTCCTTCTCACCCGTTCCTCTTTCCTGGGGCCGAGTGGCCATTTCTCTCCTTTTAATGGTTCTGGCATCCCTTCCCCAACGTTGCTTGACCCAGCGTGGAGAAAGGGAAGCCAACTTACCCATACAGCAGGCAAACCCCCATTCCGGCTGAGATCACCCCTTGTAGAACGCGCCAACCGCCGCAGACCCACGCCAGGCCCAGAAGAAGGAACTGCCCTCCCACCTGGACGAGGTCTCCTGCCATGGCTACCGGCAGCCGTTGCGAAGGACAACACAACTCCAAACCTAGGGAAGGACAGAAGGGAGGCAGGGCGTCGTAACTCAAGAGGCAGAATAGAGGTACAAGTCCTCACCTTACGACCAGAATGGAGCACCAAATGTATTGATATTTTATGTATTACTAGCTGGATACCCGTGCTCCGCTACGAAACTATATGATCGGGCTTGATAAATCGATACTTACAGCTTGAGAATTAATGAGTAGTTACGATCCCACAGAATCCTCTCCTCTATCCCCTTTCTCTCCCTCAGGCTGGCCCCATTGCTCCGCTCATATCCCCTTCTCTCCCTCAGGCTTGCCCCACAGAGGCCTCTCCTATCTTATCCCCTTCTCTCCCTCA